GGGGGGTTACTGTATTTCGAGTCTATTCTTTTTTCGGTTCGGAGGATCGTGATAAAATGGAAACTTTTATTCGCAGACACGAGAATATTAGATTTGTCAATTGATATTACTGTCAACGCGAATGTATATGCAAGGAATGATCCGCGAAAATCTCTCTTCCGCGACAGGGAGGCGCAAAAGTCACGAAATTCGGTGAAAAATCCAAACGTTTTACATTAAATTTCGTGGCGACGCAACAATAAAACTGCGACAATTTGTTGCGAGCGGTCGATTATTGTTATTGCGAGCGGTTTGATTTTTCTGTTCGTGCGTTTAAAAGTGATTTATTCGAAGCGTTTTCTGAGTTTTGCATCAATTGCAGCCATTTTATCGGTAAGTTCAGACCACGAACTTTCTAAATCTAGGTATTTTTTAACATTGTTAAAGTGTCCAAAATTTTACAGATAAAAGCTTACACGTGACAAGGACTATACGTTCTGAAATATACGGAAGATAATGAGATCTATCGAGTGACTAAACACTTCTCTTCAAATGGATTTATTCGTCCATTTAAAACGAATTAGAAACTTCATTCTAGTCGTGTTAATTAATAAATGTTTCCGGTATTTTCTCGATATCCGATGCAACATCTATTTAAAAATCTTTGATACATTATACGCAATCCTTTTATTATAATACTTAAAAACAATAACAGCTCCTCGTCGTAAATAACACAATTGACGATGAGAAGATGACGTTTCACGTCACTGTCTAGATCAGGCATGGCCAACATACGGCCCGTCTAATGAATTTATGTGGCCCGCGATCAATCTTTCATTATTAGCTACTTAAGTCCGAATAGTCTGAAAAATTTTGACGCCTAAAAAAAAAAAAAAAAAGGTCAACAACTCACTGTGCGTTTAGAATTAACCCTACATTACAAATCTCGTAAGTACAGCGTAGAATGTTCATAAAGCATGATAATGTCAAAAATGTATCTGTAATCTATGTACAGTACAATTTAGTCTCTACGGGGTGACACTACAATGAGATTTCGCACCACCTGAAAATCTTCCTAGGGTAGCCTCTGGTTCGGCCCGTGGAAAAAGTTTTATTTCCAATTCGGCCCGGGGGCAAAAACTGTTGGCCACCCCTGGTCTTGATGGTAGAATGTCAAAATATAATCTTTTATCCGAGGAATCTGAATGAAGAGTTCGGATTTCTCTTACAAAGCTTTTTTTTTTTTTCTATTTTATTATATTTGTTCGCGACCCGATTGTAATGCTGGCTAGAAGATTGAATAATGAAGACTGGATTCGATCATGGCTTTGGAAGACCCGAAATCGAATCCGGTGTAGGAAAACCCCAGAAATATTTCATGGACCTTCTGTTCCGAACATGTTGGGCCCTCCTCCCATCACCCTGTTGCACGCAATGGATCGCTAGCCTGTCCAAACTTGGCCGGGATGGCCGAGTGGTCAAGGTGGCAGCCTACCGCTCTGGGGACCCGGGTTCTAATCCGGACGGGTCGAAAAATTTCCAGAAATTTTTCGGGTACTGCTTTGTCCGGATATATCAGGTCCCGTCCCTCACCACCTGGTCGCCCCATTGTAATCCTGGCCGAACCCATAATGGGCTTACTAATAGAGGTCTTCTTAGTGCCCACAGGGCGGGAATAATTTAAAAAAAAGTCTGTCCGAACTCAAGATGAGTTTAGAAAAAAGGCCCTCTTAGTATCCTTTAAAAGGAAAGAGTAAAGTAAGTCCGAACCTATTGTGGTCGGACTTATCTTTAATGAGTAAAATTAAAGGTATCCAATATAGCATAATATATTAGTGACCAGCGTCAACAAAATCAAGTTGCAAACTTCATTTTTTTTTTTTTTTTAAATTTTGCGCTTAACGCTACATTTAAAAAAAAGTATATAAATAATATATTTTATTCAGCATTAAAAATGTTTTTGAAGAATACAACAAAATATTTTGAAGAATTGCGATAAACAAAAATAAACGTTTAATAATTTAAATATTAAATATTAAAATCGAAATCTATTGAGTAACAGACGATCAAATATTTCCATATTAGCATCAATTAGAGTATCGCTAATAATTTTAATAAGTAAATTAAAGATAATATATAATTTTAATGGAATATAATTACTTCTGACGAAATTATTTACAATAATTAAATTTATCCAATTATAAAGTTGGCAATAATTTACTACGATATACATTAACAAGATGGCGGACGTAGAAGTAGAGAGTGATTTATATCTACGGTAGTTTATAGTTAACGTAAAGATAAAGATTGAAAGGAAATTATATTTGGATGAATGAATTACGAACGAGTTATGAATCAGAGATCGACGAACGGTAGGATTAAAGAAGCGAGAAGATATCCCAGAAAGGACGATTCGTTAGAAGAATCGAGGCGCAGTTCGACTGAACGTTCTAGACCAAATGATAAGTTCCGATCAAGGAGTCGAGATGGACACAATCATCTCGTCTTCCGTTCCAGACAACAAGAGTTTAACAGGTATTACAAAACACCGGAAAATTCTCCCTGTCGTCTATCGCAGAGCGATTCTTTAAAGAATGATGGAACCAGCAGGATCAATGGAACCAGAGATCACACCAGCAAAAGGACTGGTTAGTTGGCTTTTTTTTTTTTTTTTATGAGTTGCATTTAATAAATTCGTGTAATTTGCCAAGCATTTTATAAGTAAGTCGTCTATCCGTTTGTGGAATTATTTGGAAAATGTTTTATGGTCCTTTGCCTAACTTACTTAAAATGGTAACCTGTAATAAGGGAAATGGCATTATGGTAATTTTATGTTTTTATTCGTCTTGGTTCTGTTCGAGTGCAGCTCCAGTTGGGGCGGTCGGAGCCGTGGAAGGGGTCGGTCTGCGAGACTCGGGTCCCGTAGTCGAGGTTGCTTTGTAAAATGTGGCTCACAGAACCATGGTTTGAGTAAGAGGTCGCAGTCGATTGAGGCCTTCGATGGTCCTTTCTGGGTGATGCGGTGGTGCAACTTGTACTGTACATCGGAGGTGGAATAGGTGTCGAGATGTCGTCACTTCTCTGCTGCGGTTACTGCTTGCAGTCCCTCTCGAGTATGCAAGAGGTTGCCTGCTCTTTTCTCAAATTCGTCTTTTTATCTTTGTCTTGTAGAAGTTATGTTTGGGTAACTTAAATGTGGATGTGCATGCAAATTAAAATTACTTTCTATCCTCTGTCGTATCTTTCCGGTATCTTTTGATATATTATGGTTTAAAATTAACGGCAGTCTTGGAATGTTTTTGCTTATCTTTGCAAATTATTTTCTTGCCGGTTCTGGTAGTTTGTTATTCTTTTGACGATGCTTGTTGATAAATTTTGATATACTGGTATTGTTTTTTTTTTTATCTCTTTTTAGTATGGCACTGAGATAATGATGTTAATATCTAATTTTTAATGTTGCTAACTGGTTGCACTATACTTCAATTTTACATATTGAATGAAAAGTTAGTACTTTTTACAATTTACAAAACTATTAATGAGTTTTTAAAAATTTTTCTCTCATGAGTAAGAAATTCAATTTAAAATTTAGCATCTTTATTCTTTATTCTGTTTCTCTTTGAATTATGAAGCAATAACTGTATTATTAACATTAGGCTGGTATTATTGAAAAGTATTATGTTCAACAGAAGTAAATAACATAATTATATCATATATATATATATATAATACTAAAGATTAATATGACTTTTTGATTCTATTAATATAAATTCCTGTTTACATGTGACCTTGTCCAGATGTTCTTATATCAAGAAATTTGGTATTTCATAATTATTTTAAGCATTTTGTCTTCCTTTTTTTATTTTAAATTTTCAAATTATATCTTTTGATAGAATATTTTATTTATGATTTGTTGAGTAGAGAAAAGCATTACTATTTATTATGAAAAAAATTAAAGTGGAAGAAATATACTTAATGTATTTATTAAATTGAGAAAATTTGATAATTTTATGTAATTGTAGAGCTGTTGGAAGTATAAAACCTTAATTGATAATAATAATAAAAAATTAAATAAAGCACATTAACTACGAGACTAAGTTTTATATATAAAATATCAAGAAATAATAAAAATAATCAAATTTAAATTTATATAAAATCATAATAGGAAATCTCAAGTTAGAGATCCTGTTATTTGCAAATGATTTTTCAGTGCTTGAGATTGAGTAACATGGGCATCTGCTGAAAATTTTCCAGGGAAGAGGCAAAGCTTGGAGACAAATAATTACATCAATCTTTATTTAATTATTAAATTTTTTGGGGGTTTTCATTTCACAAGTAGATTATTTGTCTCCAATTGTATTGCACAGTATTGCATCAATAATCCAATCCCCTTAGTAGAGGATGTAACTTTACATATCCCAATTGCTTTCACAATTATAATTTGTAGAATTATTTACATGATCTCAGGGAAGGAAGGGCCAGTGACCTGTTTATCTCCCTCAGCAGATGCCAATGGTCACTAATGTATCTTAATTATCAATTTCATTTTACTTTTTTAAACAGAATGTTATTTTATTTTTAGTTATAATATAGTCATTTTCTATTCTGAGGTTACTAAAATTTATTTGGCAATATTCTAAATGTATATTTTTAACATTTAATGCTTTTAATAGAGCATAGTATAAATTCAGTAACATGAATGAACAGTGTCAGTTCGTTCAATAATGAAATAAATCAGAAAATTAAATTTAGATTTATATATTAGACTAAAACTTTGAAAAAATCTGAATTTTACATCTGAAAAAGGGCCATTGCATTAATTTTAAAAACAAACAACTAAAACTTTGTTTAAACATTAAACTTTTTTGTGGTCCTGTGGTGGTGTAATAAGTCTGGCAGTAAAGTAAGGCCAATCTTATTGCTCACAAGTCATTAAAGTTTTTGTTCTTATTGACTCCTTAACCAGAATGTATGTTTTAAATAAATAAATATTTAATAATTGATAGTACAGTAGAGTCTCCCAGAAATGCAACTCTCAATAATTTGACATTCTGTAAAACTCATCATGTCATGAAAAAAATCTAATTTATACCATTATATCTTAATACTAGGATCAAATAACTTTTCGTTCTTAACTGGCTACATACAATAATGGCATTCAATTCCACTTGTAAACAAAGAATATAACCCTTTTCCCAAAGTGCCACTGTAAGACATCATAAGATAAATGTCACTAACTTTTTAAAATAGCCACTGGATAGCTAGTATTTTATAAATTAAAATTTAGCTACAAATAGAAATAATCACTACTGGTAGTACAGTACATAATTAATATGTGTATGAATTTGCACATATAAAAATTTACCTCCAGATAATGTTTCATTATTATGTCTTTTGTAGTACAGTAATTATTTTAGATTGTACTGTAAATTTTTTATCTCTGAATGTTAAGATTTTTAATATGTTACTACAAATTAATCTATTATTAGTTGTGAATAACCCACCTAGAGTTAGTAAAACTCATTGTTTTTAGTAATTCTTTACCTTCTTAGTTCACATTTATCTTTAATTGAATACTAAAATATTAAATAAAATTGGTTAATAATAAACTTATTAACTATCGTAGAAATACACCTACTATATTTACTTGAATGTAAGACAGCATTGAATCCAAGATGTATTATAATTTTCTGTGTGCTAACCCAGGATATTTTTTTTTTTGCAAAAGTAGAGAACTTGCAGCAAATTTAAGTTGTTGTGATTCTGTTGACATAAATTTGTTTAGTATTTATTCAAGTAAAATAAGTTACATATCACTGCCTTCTCTGATTTTTGAAATTGGAAACCCCTTCACTTTCTGAATCAACACTGGATTCGAAGCTCACATCATCCCACACAAAATCATCATCAGTACTGTTTGAAGCATTTCTTGAGTGCTGCACAAGTTTTTTGGGAATTTTCATCCAATTATTTCATAATATTACTGTAATAGACTAATGAGATTGAGCTAAGTTGACATCTTAAATATTTACTACTAGCAGACCCTGCCACGTGTTGTTGTGGCTCAAAATGTATCTATTATAAATGTATAACACTTTCCCCACGGGGGGAATTTTTTGAAAAATTCCTTCTTAGTGTATATTCTGTTGACGTACCCTATTAAAACACAATCAAAAACTCAAAAAACTGCATCTAAAATAGTATAATAGAAGCAGAGTTCTTTACGGTAAGCCGTAATCCTAACCATCTCCCCCCAGTGGGAGGAATTTCGACATGTATATTATATAACAGGGGTGGCCAACCTGCGGCTCGCGAGCCACATGCGGCTCTTTGAAGGATTATTTGTGGCTCTCGATAAATGTACCCGAGTTCCCTTTTCATTTTTGTGTTATTATATTTTAAAAAATTATTATCATTCCGTATGTGTTTCAAAATGTCTTTTAAATTACTAACAACAAATATGAAAGACTAAGTGCAACGTTGTAACAAATTTCATTTCCGTCCAAGTTAAGAATGATATGACTCATCGAAAACTGCGCGAACGAACATAAACAGTGGCGTAATCGTCCGTTATCGACCGACTTCAGACTGATTTTGAATTTGTAAATTATCATTGCAATGGACAGTTGACATTGTGCTCTGGAGGAAACAATTTGTATCACTCTTGCTAAGGATATAATTTGTAATCTGGAATTTTTTGCATACCTTTTTAATATGTATTTAATTGCGGCTCGCGAAAAATTTCAAATTTTGAAAAATGGCTCGGACTATCAAGGAGTTTGGCCACCCTGGTTATATAAAAACACCTGCATATTCGAATACAACATAGTGTCAAAATTTCAAAAAAATTGGTAGGAACAAACGAACATTACATTTTTATTTATATAGGTAGATAGAAGATGATCTGATTTTAGTTCATCCTCACAGAAAAGCAAACTTAGGTCGTCATACTCGTAGCGCTATCTGTTGGACATAAAAGCCTTAACCTAGATGATATCTTTTAATTTATATGAATGTTTACCAGAATAATATACAGCCTATGTCCACCCTGAAGTTTCATTCTAGAAGAATGGAACTTCAGGGAATTTTTGAAATCAGATGAGTAGTTTCAGAGATTACCCACTACATCCAAACTTACAAACATTGCCTCTTTATAATATTAGTATAGATTATGAATATTGGTTTAATAAATAATTCAGATGATGCATTAGAGTTGGTAACAGAGAAGATACATGGCATGGAAGTTACTAATCATGATGTATTACATCGAATTTAAGGCATACATTATTTTCAGAGACATTAAAACTCTCCAAAAAAAAATGCACTAACGTTTTAGAGTAAATATAGTAATAAATAGGTTTTTAAATTTTATTGGAATGAATACTAACCACTTTTTTAACAGCAAAAATTTAATTAAAACAGGTAATTTTGGTCTATTTTAGACCATCTTCAGGTTCTCTATCTTTCAAATAAATCATACATACACTAACACACACATACACACACTAACANTACTAACCACTTTTTTAACAGCAAAAATTTAATTAAAACAGGTAATTTTGGTCTATTTTAGACCATCTTCAGGTTCTCTATCTTTCAAATAAATCATACATACACTAACACACACATACACACACTAACATCCATATAT